GGCAGGGAGGGTGCTGATGTGATGTCCTCAAGGAGGTGATGGTGGGGTCTGGCTCCAGAGAAGGGCATGGAAAGTCCATGCCAGGGGCCCGGTGCAGAGGCGCGGAGAGGAGGGCCGGGCCACCACACTGTAGCAAGCAAACTTCCACAGCAACCCGACCATAGCTGGTACCGGTTTCCAATGACTGAAAAAATGGGCTTGGGATCCGCAGTCTTTATTTTATATAAGTACTGATCCGCTGGGATTGAGAATATAAAAAATGACCCTTCCACACAGATAAGTTGAGAAGTGCTGTCCAGGAGGGCTAAGAGGGGCCTGGCTACAGACACGCCTGGTCAGCCAGGGTCCTGGGCATGTCTACCAGGAGCAGCACTGGCCCACATGAACCGGGACAGCCATTCAGAGGCGGTTCTGAAACATCCAGCAACACTTCGCTGCTCCCCTGCCCATCTCTGGCAAAGATGTCAGGGAGGCTAGAGGTGCTGTGGGCCGCATCCACACCCGCCTGCCCGAGTGCACGGCAGGGCTGGGCCCCAGGGAGCACAGACCCACCAACCAGGTCTGCAGAGGACGAACGAGCCTGACTGGACAAGACACGGTTTGCTTGAAGGATTGCAACACACCTGGAAGTGAAGATCACGGCTCAGATCCAGAAGAGGATGGAGCGTGAAGGGGCCCTGGCTCCTGGCGCTGCTTCCACAAGGGGTGGCCAAGGGACAGACTGGTGCTTTCAACACCACTGCGGGGCTGGGGCCCAAGGATTAGGGTGTGGGGAGTCCTCCTCATTGTGGGCTGCACTCGGGCATGGGTCACCCAGAGGCAAAGGTCACTACTATGGTCTGAATGTTTGTGTCCCCCAAAATTCATGTGTTGAAATCCTCACCCCCCAAGGTGATGGAGTTAGGAGATGAGGCCTTTGGGAGGAGATTAGGATGAGAGGGCAACCGTTTGCTGACGACGCGATTAAGTACACAGAAAAAAAAGGACCCAAAAATAAATTATCACATTTAACAAGTGAGTTTAGCAGATCGTAGGTTAAAAAGGTAATTTAATAAAAAACTTGAATTGCTATACATCAAGCAATGAAATTAGAAAAAAAAAAAAATCTATTTACAAGAGTATGACAGTATCTCAGACACCAGGGGTTCCTGCTTCTGACCATGATGGGACAGTTGGGACTGATCTTGCCTTCCTGCCAAAAACAACAGAGCACCAGCAAAACCCATAGGACACAGGCTGGGAGCATCAGGCTGGAAGCGCTGCTGTGGTACCACGTGGCAGCATGACCCAGCAATGAGATGAAGGCACACTCCGCCAGAAACTGTACAGGAAGACTCGAGCAGCCCTATTCCCAACCACAGCAGCTCAAACAGCCCAGTGCTGTCAACTGGGAAGCCAACAAGCAGAGCGTGGGGCTTCCATGCAGTGGACCGCTACTCAGCGGTCACTGAAGTGCTGGAACACAAAACTACGTGGATGAATCTCAATGCTGAGAGAGAGAAGCCAGACACAAGGCCACATGCTGTGTGACTCCATGTATATGATGCTCTGGAAAAGGCAGACGGCAGGGTGCAGATCCGGATGTCCGTGAGCTAGGAGTGGGGAAGACAGGCAGCTGCTCATCACAGCGTGGCGGCACTTACAGAACGCAGACTTCTGAGACAGCCCGAGTCTCCTCATATCACCCCTCAAGAGGTGACAGAACACGATAGAACACGAGGAGGCGCCCAGCATAGCTACGGCATTCTCTGCTGCCTCGAGGCACTCTGAGCACCCCTGGCTGGCAGCCAGTGAGGAAGCAGGGACCTTGTCTTACAGCGAAGGAACTGAATTCTGACAACCCCACGAGCATTTAGAAAAAGCCTAAAGCCAACATCATTTAATGATGAAGACTGAAAACTCCTCCTCGATGACAGAGAACAAGGCAAGGAGGTCCCAGGCAGGGCACAGTGTGAGGACAGCAGACAGAAGTGACACTGACTAGAAATGACAACATATGACACGATCATGTGTGTAGGAAATCCTAAAGAATATTCCAAAAAGTTACCAGAAACAATAAATGAATTGAGCAAGGTCAACATATAAAAAAATCAACTATTTCCCTATAGTAACAACCAACAATTGCAAAATAAAGTTAAAAAGCAGTATAATTTACAAGAGCATAAAACAAGTGAAATACTTAGGAATTAATTTAACAAAATATGTGTAGGATTTATACACTGAAAGCTACGCAGCTCTGCTGAGAGACACTGAGGACCTACCTCAATGGAGAGCTAGACCACAACAGACACCAGGTCAGAAGACTCAATGCCCCAGACTGGAGCAACAGATTTAATGCAATCCCAACAGAAATTCCATCAGCCTCTGCCTGTACTCACACACTGATTCTTCCATTTATGTGGAAATACAGTGGACACAGAAGAGCTAAAACAATTGTGAAAAAGAACAGAGTTTGAGGACTTAACACTAGCTGGTTTCAAGATTATCTTATGTCTACAGTCATCAAGAGAGGGTGGCATCAGTTTGAGGACAAGCAAATACATCGAAGGAACCAAATACAGTCCAGACAGATCCCATCAGTGGGTGCAGGTAGAGACTGCTCCAACCAGCGGTGCTGGAAGGAACACACACTCACACAGAAAAACATGAACCTCAACCCTTACCTCAAACCACACACAAAGGCTAGATCAAAACTGATGATGAACCTAAACATAAAAGCTTTTTAGCTTTTATTTTATATGGAACATCTAGAGAAAGACATAGGAGAAAATCTTTACAACTGGGGGTACACAAGGCTTCCTTGAGACACAGATGCATCAGGCAGAGGCAGCTTGCAGCACACACATGTGTGCTTATGGCGCAGGACGCCATCAGAAAATGTGAAGAGGTCTTACAACTCAGGACGACAACAGCCCATCTAAAAAGCAATCAATAAATGTCAAAAATTACTTCACAAAAGAACATGTAAGGATGGCCTATGAGAGCACAAGAAAAGATGCTCGACATCGCCAATCGTCAAGAAATGGCAGGTGACGATTTACAGTGTTTGGAGTCCTCGTTCATTGCTGGTGGAAATGTATGTGGTATAACCACTTTGGAAAACCGGCAGTTTCTTTTAAAGTTAAACATACCCTCACCTTACAACCCTGTGGTTCCACTCCCAGGTGGATTACCCAAGAGAAATCAAAACACATGCCCATAAAAACAAGTCTAGGAGAGCCGGAGAGAGCTACTTGCAAGAGCAAAACTGGAAGCAGCCGGAGGCCCATCTGCAGGCAAGTGCACAAACTGGCACAGCCACTGGCACAGCCACTGGCACAGCCACTGGCAGGGCCCTGCTGGCAACAGAAAGGGATGAACTGACACACGCAGCACCGGGCGGGCCGCAAGAACACACAGAGCCAGACACAGGATTCCCTTTACAGGAAATTCTAACGCAGGTGAAATTCACCTACAAGGATGGGTGGGGGAGAGGGAGTAACTAAAGGAGCACAGGGGACTTCTGGGGTGACGGGAACGTTCTGCACCCTGACTCTGGTGTTTACTATACTGGATATATGCCTGTCAAAACTAAAACCATACATTTAAAAGGAGTGTTTTACTGTATGTCAATTAATTACAATAAAGTTGACCCAAAAGAATAAATATCAAAAACCTATTTGATTAATAAAAATAATCCAGCCAAAGACACACAAAATCACACCACAGAAAACCATAAAGCATCATCGGGGTTAAGTAAAGAAGACAACAAATTTAGGGGTACACCATGTTCACAAACTAGCAAATGATGTGGTAAAGAGTTTTCCTTCACCCGAATGCCAATCAAATTCCTGCAGGAGTTTTTGTAGAATGCGTCAGGCTGGTTTCAAATTCCTGCAGGAGTTTTTGTAGAATGCGTCAGGCTGGTTTCAAAACATACATAGAGACCAAGAAGAGCACGACTCTGCTAAGGAACTCTTAAGGTGACGAGACGTAACCTGAAACCACAGAGAGGGCAGAGCCCAGCCCAGGGCACTCAGCAGACAATGGAGAGGAGGGATCCCAGCACACGTGGACACTGGGGTTATGACAGAAGTCTCCCTTCTGAGCCATGCAGAAAGGACCACCTTTTCAACAAATGGCACTGAGTCAGGCAGACATCGGTTCAGGAAAAGATAAAGCTGACTCCGTCTTACACCTACAGATCTAAATATGGATCCACGGGTTTTTTAAAAAAATTAGTAAGGACATTACAGAAACCCACCAAGTCTACAGAAAAAGACTGACTGTTCATTAAGAGACACCAATGGGAAGTAGAAAAGCCACAGAGCACACAGTGACGTAATTAAGCGCCTTTATCAGAACGTGTGCTACCAACCAGCACAGGCCAATCATCCCACAGAAGGACACATCCCAGCACAACACACACCCTGCGCATGCCCACACACACACACACACACACACACATGCACGCGAGCCAAGCCCAGGCCCGTGCTCGATTCTGGTGTCCAGGAGGTCAGGCTCGGGTGCCACGACATGAGGAGCTGAGGGACGGCACCTCGGGGCCACCCCTTCTGTGCTAATGTGCAATTCCCTACCCCATGAGATCACCAGTCACTGCAACACACACAGCCCCTGAGCCTCTCAGCAGCCTCAGGGGCTGCCAGGCTCTAACCTGGGATGATCAGTCAGGGTTCAGAGGACTGGAGTGGGGTGCCCAAGGCCCCACACTCTACATGAGGGAGGCAGTTTGCTGCACAAGCTCGGGGACCTCCCAAGCCAGGCGTCCCAACTAAAGATGCTCATCTGCACCCTGAGCACAGAATCGAGGCCAGCACCAGGTACAGGCTCAGCAGGGACGCAGGGGGCCCACGCTTGTCAGCAGTGAGAGCTCACATCTGAGTGCGTCTCCGAGACTGGCCTGCACCGGGACATTCTGCAGACCCCAAGACAGCAAATGTGTTCAAGCCTCACAGGTCGCAGTTAGCTCTTTATGCCCCTAACCCCTCAGAATGCATTACCTTATTGTCAAGATCAAAGAGGTAAGAATCTTCTTCCCGAACGTCGGCTTCTGAATCGGAGATCAGCTCCCCGACATACCTGCAGAGCGAGGTGAAGCGTCCAGATGTGAACTGGGAGACACTGGACACAGTCAGAGACAAGTACCTCAAATAAAAGAATGAAGCACCATAGGAACTGTAACAAAACCCAAAAGAATATCCAGCCAAACATCTTTGTTCGCTTCTGCCTGTGATCGAACCGGCATTTAACTTTAGGTTTCGGAAGATAAGGACAACACAGAAACACCTGCATCTGCTGACTGGCAGACCTGAGCAGCCAGAACAACTCTCCCCTGGAAGTAACTGGTAACGTCGGCTGGCATCATCTCAAGTGCACTTGTGAGCTGGGGAGGGAAACTGAAGACAAAGCCAGAGAGTGGTGGCAGGGTGCTGGAGACAGCATGAGCCTGGTTTCAGGGGGACCCAACCAGTGGGCAGCTCAATGGGCTGCAATCCGGTACGGCCAGGGCCTCTGCAGCCTCCCACCCCACACTGCTGCGAGCCAGGGGTGTGGCCATTCCCGGAGGGGCTTCTTGGAGCACAGACACATTCTGGCCTCAGTCCCAGAAATTATGCATGCGACCGGCAGACCTGGGTGACCAGGGACTCACTCGCAGACAAAGGTGCCCAGAGGGATGTCCTGCAGGGACCGCACGCCCCAGCCCATGTCCTGCGTCCGGTAGAGCTGTAGCCTTGCCCTGGAAAACAGGTAGCGTGCAGGTGGACATGTGCCACTCGGCCATCACACACAGTCAGCAAACCCACCTGCAGTGCATCACTGCAGTGAGCCACACAAATAAATGGAGAAGAAGACTGGTTTCCTATCTGGAAACACTAGAACCTTACAGGTGACCCAGCAGCAGCTCCACTACCATCTTTCAGATTCAGCACCTCACACTCTCAGGAGGCCATGACCTTGGCAAGCCACTCGCGCTTGCTGTGCCTCAGTATCTTCATCTGTGACACGGGGACAAGATTGGGCCTAGTGCACTAGGATGCTGTGAGGACCAGAGGAGCTCATCCTAAACCAGCCCTCTGGCTGGAAGCCAGACTGCTGCGAGCCAGCCAGCTCAGGCAGTGGTGCCCCCAGAGCTGGGCCAGGCGACCAAGCAGACCACACTGTGTGAGGACGCCTTGAGCCACGTGCACTTGTCTCCTGGCACATGTCATCTACCATGTCCTGTGGGCGCTAAGGGAGGCGGCATGTTTGTCCTCCGCCCCTGGCCGTTCCGCCACACACGAAGACAGAGTGCGGGCTATCCTCTGCTCCCGCATGAACCAAGGTTACTAATGCTAAAAAAGTCTCAGAGCTACAAAAACCAGCGTACAGCAGTACACACAATTTTTCCCTTATGACTCAGAGGGAGTAAGTAAGAAGACAACACATGTGGGGTGCACCTAAATTTTCTCATCTCAGACACACCTGTGGAGGGAACGGTCAAGACCAGGACCTGAGGGAAGGGCAGGGGGAGTTTGGTCCTGGGCAGCTGATGGCTGCTGGAGGAAGGAATCCAACCCTAGCCAGTGAAAGGGCACTGGCCAATCCTCACTTGACCAAGTGCCTCGAGTGACTTAGGAACAAGGAATCCCATGGTTTCAAAGAGTAACAGCATCATACTGCCCCTGCTAGAAAAACCCAAGGAACACAGAATGTAGCCATGCATTGCTCAATGATGGGGTAAGTTCTGAGAAACGTGTCGTCAGGTGGTTTTGTCGCTGTGCAAACATGTTACTTACACATGCCTAGATGGTATAGCCTACTACACACCTAGGCTGCAAAACTGTACAGCGCATTACTGTACCACGTGCCACAGGCGGTTGTACCACGGTGGTAAGTATCTGTATCTGAACACAGGAATGGTACAGTACAAATACAGTGATTCAATCTGAAGGGACCACACCATACATGCAGTCCATCGTTGACTGAAATGTCCTCAGGTGGTGCACGACTGTATTTAGAAAATGACTGAATACCAAAAGAGAATCATGGTAACCCTGATCTGTTGAAGAGGGTACGCATGAAGCTGGTAACAAAAGCAGTTCTTGTGCCAAGGCCACCCCTCTGCTCTTGGCTCAGACAACCTAACAGTCTATTCCCTCCCTCCAGCCTAAGAGCTGGTGGAAGCATGACTGTTGTTATTTATGGCACATGTGATATTTCTAGAGGATAAAGACTCAGAAGTAAGTCATCGGCTCTCCTGAAAACACACGCACACATGCAGACACACGTGTACACATGGCAAACACATCAGGTCCTGCTTGTCGGGGGTGACCCCGATTCGAACAGTGCTGCGCATGCACATACAGGAGCAGGGTGCAGGCTCCAGCGGGCGGGAAGCACCTCTCACCTGAGCCCATTCTGCACAACGCGGTTCCGGCAGTTCCTCCAGCAGGAGCAAGCATGGTTACACTCAAAGATCAAGGGAGGCTCTGCCATGTTGAATTCAGGCAGAAGTCGGCCGTCCTGCGGACAGACATGCCATTAGGATCCACCTGGTGTTACTCTCTGTGTTTTTACAATGTGCCAGTGCGGCCTCACATTGACATAAAAATGAGGGTTTCTGATCAAACTTTACCACCTGGGAGAAACAACAGGGCCAAACTCCATTCTCAACAGGAGCCTCAAGCCAGATGCCCACACGGATTCTGGAGACCTTGCAGAGAGCACCCCAGTCCCTGACTGCAGTGGGTCCCTGTCAACCAGGAGCTGTGGCCTTTCTAATCCTCCTGCCTCGTCCTCCCTCAGCCTTGCTCAGGCCACAGCAAGGGTCCTGCTGCTTCCTTCTAGTGGTGGGTGCCTGCTGGACACTCCTGTGCTCTCAGCCTCGCAAAGCCTCAACTGTGGAGGTGCCGAGCCACTTGCTACTGTCCCACACCCTGACGCCAGGCAGGTGCAGAGGGCACACAGAGCTGCGTGAGCTGAGTCTGCGAGGTACATGATGGCCCGAATGGCCTCAGGGCCTTTCTGAACAGTTAGTACTCTCCTCGGAATGTTCACTCCTCCCACCTCTCAGCACAACCATGCTTCGCTGCACATGGGTCCCAATGACTTTCAGAAGCCTGCCTGCCCCACCCCTCTCTGGCACTGGACATGTGCCCCTCATCCCCCACTGCCTCGGCCTTGCCTCCAACAGCAGGCAGCAGGAGTCTCTCATTCAGGTGACAAGTGCTCCACCCTCCATAACGCCCCTCCTCCTCTAAAGTCCACTTCTGGAAAGAACCCGCCTGCTGCCTCCACCCTCAGCCCGTGTTTGCTCTTCACCCCAGGACACTCTGGCTTCTGCTCCCACCAGCAGCAGCAGCAATCCTGAAACCAAGGACGTCTGTGGTGTCATCCTCCTGGACGCTCTTCCCCTGAGCTGCACCTGGGAGCGCTTCTCCCTGGTCTCCTCCTCAGCTGCTTCCCCACCAGTCACTTCCAGCCTGCAGCCCCTCGGCCACCATGTCTGCTGATGCGCACTCCATCCAGCCCAGCCCCGACCTCCATCTTCCCACCAGGCATCTCTCGGGCCACTCACTCTTGAGCACAGAGCAGAGCTCGCCAGACATAAACAACAAAAGCACGTTTCCTGCCATGGCCAAGCCAGGCCTGCCACTCAGGACCACCTGTGGCCAAGCGCCCTACCTCCCTGCCACCCTCCAAGCAGACACAAAGGTCACTGGCTCCAGCCCAGGGACTGCGGGAGCCCTCTCCTTGGCCCCATGCCCACCCCGGGGCAGCCTGTCACTGCTGGCCTGCCTCCACCTGCATCCTGGTCTCCACACCTGCTCACCTCCCACCCTTCCTTTCCAAAGCTGTTGTTTCCATAAATGCCCATCAGCAGGACTCACCACACAAGCACACGAGCACAGAGGATCCTCACCTTATCGTACCAGCAGCGCATACTGAGCTGGCCGCACATGCAGTTGCTGGAAGAGCAGTCGTCTATGCACACGCAGTACTGAGGGCAGAGACACCGCAGCACCGTCAGGAAAGCACCTCCTGCTGCTGCTCGCACCCCATTACATCACCACCCAGTGTCTGACAACTCCCCAAATTACCCCTACATCTGATATGTGCTTTCTCATAGACACCAAGTGTGCAGCTTCTTAGGGAAAAGGGTATACAGGCCAGAGAGAATGTTTGGGTTACTATGAAAGACACTGAGTGCTCATGGGAAGGGCTCTGGACAAGGACCCTAAAGAGCGAGACAGGAGGCGGGAAGGTCTGCAATGGCAGCTGGTGGCTGCGTGTGGCCTGACAGGTGCCAGCACAGCTGGGTCTGGGTCACTGTGCAGACCCTGCACCAAGCTCCTCTCACTTGTGCCCCGAGGAGGAGCCAGCACCGGGGCCTGGGCCAGCACCAGCCGGGGGATGCTTACATGGCTCTGGGGCTGGCGAGAGGTCCTCAGAAGAGCACTGGGAGGGCCCAGGGCTATGCCCCACTCGGGTCCTTTTCCTGGCAGGATCTTTATCTACCTCTCAGCTCTTTCATGAGAGGCAAGTGCCGAGAGAACAGGGACTTCCTGGGAAGCCCCCGCAAGCCCTCCTGCTCTGGGAGTGGTGAGAAGACCCGAGCCCCAGCTCTGGGGCCTACTCCGCCTGCTAAGTTCTGGCTCAAGCCAGCCTCTTCCACCATCACTAACCTGCAAGTGAGTGATGTTCCTGTCGATGTTCATGGGGGAAGTCACACAGTTCTGAGAGACATACTTGTAGTTGCTGGGGCACGGCTCACTGTCCACAGCGTTGACACAGGGGATGGGGACTCGCTCATAGCCTCGGGCGATGTCTCTGCCATGGAACAGGGGGCGTCACCTTCTGCAGTGACAAGCTCTGCCCAGTGGGTGACACAGAGGACAACAGGCAGCTGACAAGCACCTGGACCAGACAGTCTTAACTCGGGCCTCAGGACAGTTCAGCTCCAAGAGAAGCTGCCATCCCAAGCTCCTGACACCCCAATTCATCAGTGATGTGCTACAGAACCATCTTGATTCTGGAAGCTTCTCACCTGCTCACTGTCTTCTCGACAGGGACAGGCTTGTCAGAGGCCGAGTCTCGGAGTGCCTTGCTCATCTGCAAAGCGCTCCACACCTGAGAGTTGAGGCTCGCGCACTGCAGGGGCGTCTCTCCCTCCTTGTTTTTTAGGGTGACATCTGAATCCCGAGAAAGAAAGAGGCTAAAAGGAAAAATGTAAGCCAACAAAATATTGATATTTTAACTTAGAAGACACAAAGAAAAGATTTACAAAATGACGATGATCACTAAAAATAAAGAGAACACACTATTTGTTTTGAAGTAACTTTAACAAGTTTGCTGACCAATGATTCTAAAAAGATTGGCTTTAACTCACCCCAAAACAGTCCTCGCCGTGCTACTGTCAAAGTCATCACAGTTTTTTTTAGCAAGAAGTGTATAAGGAACTAGCACAAAGAAACTTTTTCTTGGACTTTTCATTCAAATTCACCCTCAAGGACAAAATGGGAGCGATGGCAGAGAAAAACCATGCCTGGACATGCACAGGGAGCAACCCTAGCGCTTGACCGGCCTGAGCCCGGCCAGGGGCCGCTGCATGTGGAGCTGTGGCCTCGCTTGGCTGAACTGTGGCCAGGTCCAAGTCTGAGCAGGCAGGCACCTCACAGAGAAAAACCATGCCTGGACGTGCACAGGGAGCAACCCTAGTGCTTGACCGGCCTGAGCCCGGCCAGGGGCCACTGCATGCGGAGCTGTGGCCTCGCTTGGCTGAACTGTGGCCAGGTCCAAGTCTGAGCAGGCAGGCACCTCGCTTGTGGGGGCCATGGGAACCAACTTCACAGCCTGCTTTCCAGGTGAGGTGGGAGTCACCTGCAGGATTAGCAGGGGGTTCTGCCTAGTCCTGTGTGGAGCGGCCACAGCTCCTCATCCCCCATCCCAAGACCCAAATGACTTATGGGAAAGAGGCCTCAAGTTTAAAAGGGCCCTGAATGGCCAGCACCTCCAGCCCTGTCTGTGGGCACTGCTCCAGGGATCACTCAGACTCTTGTGGCCTCAGAGCCACAGCTCCTCATCCCCCATCCCAAGACCCAAATGACTTATGGGAAAGAGGCCTCAAGTTTAAAAGGGCCCTGAATGGCTAGCACCTCCAGCCCTGTCTGTGGGCACTGCTCCAGGGATCACTCAGACTCTTGTGGCCTCAGAGCTGGCAGGCCCCCATTCATAGCAGACTGTCCTCACGTGCCTCTCACCCATGCTTCACAGCCTCCTGACAGTAGGTTTAGGTCTGAGATTCAGCTCAAGGTTCGACCTAAGAATTTGAGGATTTCTCATGATGATCCTCCCTGAACCAGAAACAAGCCACAGCTGATCTCAAACGTGGGATGGGAAAGAGCCTCCTCTGCTAGCGGAACACCGAGGGTGCTCTTCCACCCGAGGAGGGAGGGGCTGCCTCCACTTGATGCCCAGTGTGAACACACAGCCATGCAGCAGCCTCTCCTGGCACCTGGGCCAGCGGTAGCCCAACCCAGGGGCAGCAGGGGCCACGTCGTGCCAGGGCCACGAGGAGGGAGGGGCTGCCTCCACTTGATGCCCAGTGTGAACACACAGCCATGCAGCAGCCTCTCCCGGCACCTGGGCCAGCGGTAGCCCAACCCAGGGGCAGCAGGGGCCACGTCGTGCCAGGGCCACTCACACGACGCAGTCGTAGCGGTTCTCCCTGGCAGCTATGTGCAGGGGCGAGTCTCCGTGGACATTCACGGCGTGGAGATCGCACTTGGCAGCCAGCAGTATCTCAGCTATGTCCACGCAGCCCGAGAATGCTGCCCAGTGCAGGCAGATGTTCTCCTCCTGGACAGACACAGGCAAAACCTGGTGAGGATGGTTTGGGCCAAGCACATGACACTGGGACCAGGCAAAGGTGGCCACTCCTCTCACTCACCCGACGAGAAATGCTAGGAGGGCAATTAGCTGTTCCCAGCACAGGCCAAGCAAAAAAGGCTTCACAGGCCCTCAGAGAAGAGAACCAAGCACCTACCTGAATTCTGGAGGGCATCTTTTTTCCTCTTTTTCTCGTTATAAAAGTAACATAATGACAGTACAGAATATTAAAAAAAAAAAAAAAACAGAATTACACCACTCTCAACACAAAACATTATTAGGATAACATTGGTGGGCACTTTTCTTCTATTTTAAAAATTATATTCATTCCCAAACAGTTACAGTCACAGGACAGGATAATGTTTGTGTGAGATTTGATAAAGATAAGTAAGCTTGATTAAATTCAAATGTTACTTAAAGTTTTAAATAAAGAAAAACTGAAAAAATATTTGTGCCACATGTGAAATATACATGCTTTACAATCACACAGTAAGTTTATTAGAACACTACAATTCTGAAAAAATAAATATACAAAGGATATGAAAATAAAATACAACTGGATAAGAAAAAGATGAAAGTAAACATAAATACAGAAAATGTTTGACCTTGTCAGATTGCCAAGAAATATAAATTAAAACAATAAACTGATATTTAACACCTATCACACTAGGAACACAACAGCAGTAAACAAAATGAGAAGCATACCCACTCTCACGCCTGATTTCTGTCTGTCCCTGACCCTCTGGGCCTCACCCATGGCCTCCGTCTGCTGAGGCTCATGCCAAATGGCATGATACGACCAGAGCCTTCTGCATGCAATGAGGGCCAGAGGCATCACTGTGCTGACCAGTCACTCAGCTCACATACCGTATTTACTAAACTTTGCCTGTACTGAACATTTTGTTTATTTCTGGTTTTTCCTCTGGAATACAATGCTATTGAATATTTTAGTACTTTTCTTTTTTCTGAAGTATTTCTCAAGGCTAAATCCTCAGAGGTGGGATTACCAAATTAAAGGATATAAACATTTTGCTGCTCTTGAAGGTCTTCCCTCCCCTCGGTAATCAAGGGTAATTTCCACAGGCTTCCTGTACACAGTCAAGCCTCCCTGTGTATTCTGTCACCGGGGCTGAGGAAGCTCAGCGCCTACGGCAGCCCCACTAGGTGCCAGCGCCTGCAAGCCCTGTCTGCTCAGGTCTGCCCTGTGGTGGCTCACGTGTCCACTGCACCTTTAACTCTGCCCCACCCCCCCGGGGAGCACAGCCTCAGCACACACAGGGGTTGATTCTGCAGGTCCTGGGTGCCCTCCCCCAGAAAGAGGAGGGGGCTCATCTGTAACACTCTGGTACTCTTGTACAAATCCCATCCCAATCCTCACATTGTAAGGTACATTCAAAGCTTTTCGGCTCAATGAACACCAGGAAAGATAAAAGCAAAACAGAAATGGAGTGGCCATGCCTCTGCCATCCTCATCAACACATAGCTGCCAGCCGAGCATGGGCTTTTGCTTCCTCTTTCTGTTTCTAAAAGAAGAAAGTAAAAGCAAACTCCTTTTTGTGAACCTTAGTATGTTCTGCAAAACCTCAGCTTATTGGGGGCTTTTTCTTCTGGCTGTTATTCTTAGCAGCTTTTCCATCCCTCTGATCTTTGTTTCTGGTTTCCATCTTCTATACACTTGAGAACTCCCTGAACAAAACACTGTTTCCTCAGGAGCTTCGTTTCTTTTTCCTTCACCAGAATAGCTATTTTCATGACAAGAGTTACATTTTCGAGAACTTCCAAGTCCCCTAACACCCTCTACCATAGGCTCATTAATCGCCTGGCCTTTCTGAAGTCCGCTTGCTAAGTTACGTTCAGCCTGGCCCACACCACTTGAGCATTCTAGCTCCTAAAAGGACAGAGGTGGATTCTGCTTCCAGCAAAGATGGGGTAACATGGACCAGACGGGATTTATCCCCCCACCTGAAAGAACCAGAAGAATAAAACAAAACAGTCAAAATGTGTGAAACAGCAACTGTCAAGACCTTGGACATGAGGCCACGAAGCACTGTGATCCCTGAGAGAGAAAGCAAGCAGGGAACCTGCACCTGCTCCGCTTACCACCTCCAGGGACTCCAGCCATGGCATGGGGGGACCAGGCGGAGCCCTCACATGCTCAGAACAGAGAACAGAACTCCAAGGAGGCTCTGGAGACCTGTGCATTTTCACCTGGTGGCCACGTGCCTGTAAGAAGGCACCCTGAAGCCAGGGCCCATCCCAGCCAGGCAGGAAGCACTCTGTCCACAGGCTGCGGGCTGGAAGACACAGGAGGGACCTGCCTCAGTGGTGGCACTGATCACCCCTAGACTGAGAACTGCTCCAAACCCACCTAACAAACCTGAGGAGCAAAACCCAACATGATCAGACTGACACCAGGTAACTTTACTGTTTCCCAGAAAAAAGCTCAAGAATATTCACAACGAGACAAAAATTTCCAGCACCCTACAATATAAAATTCACAATGTCTGGTATCCAGCTACAGGTTACCACATATGCTAAAAAGCAAGAAATGTGACCCAGAATGAGGAGAAAAACCACTCAACCAAAATCCAGAACCGAATAAAAACACATGTTGGAATAGCAAACAAAGTCATCAACAGCGGTATAGCTGTATTCCAAACGTTTACAAGGTAAGTAGAGGCACACTACAAAACACCAGAAAGACCCAACAGAAAAACCAGTGTCTGAAATGGAAATACACTGGATAAGATTAACAGCATAACTGGCATTGCAGAAGAAAAGACCAGTGAAGTGGAAGACATACCAATAGAAACCACCTAAACTGAAATACAGTGTAGAAAAATAATTTTTAAAAATTGAAAAGAGCATCAGAAGCCATGGAACAACTTCAAGCAGTGTAACACATATGGCTAGAATACTTAGAAAGTGGGGGGTGGGCAGAAAGCATATTTGAAGAAATAATGACTGTAAGATTCCCAAATTTTGACAAACACTCTAAATCTATAGATCCAAGAAGCTCAATGGAATCCTAAGCACACACAAAAAGTAACACCAAGGCACTTTAATAATCAAATTGCTAAAATCCAGTGATAAAGAAAAAAAATCTCACAAACAGCCAGAAGGAGAAAGACACATGACAAGCAGAGGAACACACACAAGGATGGGAGCAGATTTCTCACTGCAAACACCTCACATGCAGACTCAGGGACACGAGGTGCTTAAAGTTCTGAAAGAAAAAAACTGTCAACCCGGAATTCTACACCCAGCAAAAACTGTCTTTCAGTGAAGGCAAAATAAGGACCTTCTAGGCATTAAAAAGCTGAGAGAATTCATCACACACAGACCAACATGACGAGAAGTGTGAAAGCCAGCAAGACTAGCAGAAGCAGACATCAGATAGAAACCCAGGTGCCCGAGTGCAAGAGGAGGAGTGGAGACAGGACGCAGAAGCACACGGGGGAGGCTTCTTTACAATCTCTCTGCAAGATCACTGCTTAAACAAAGTGACAGCCTGGTCACTGTGGTGTTGAAAACGTACATATAAGCAAACCTCGTGAGAACAGTAAGTTTGGGAGGGAGGACATGGAAGGATGCGCCACAAGGCTCTCCAGCCATCCGTGGTCCCAAGACTGACTATGCAGCCATTCCACTCAGGAAAGCTCTGTGCTGCTGGCACAAAGATGGACACAGAGGTCATCTGCAGATAGATCAGCAACAACAGAGAGAGCCCAGAACTGACTCATGCGCACGTGGACCACTGATTCTTGAAGAAGATGCAAAGTCATTTCTATGGATAAAGAACAACTTTCTCAGTGCTGGAACAACACATCCACATGCTAAAAACAAAAACAAGAACTTCGACTCATACCTCACACCATAAAAAATAATTAGTTCATTATAGATCATAGGCCAAGGTAAAAACCTAAAACTGTAAAACTACTATAAGAAAATGTGGGAGAATATCTTAGGGATCTTAGGTTATGCAATGATTTCTTAAATAAAACACCAAAAGAAGGATCCATTTAAAAACAAGACAAAAAAAAACTTGATTAAAAATGTATCAAAATTTAAAAACCTCTGTGCTTCCAAAGATTTATAAAGAACGTATCCAATAAAGGACTTGTGCCCAGAATATAAAGTAAACTCTCAAAAGTCAAGAATAAGAAAATAAACTACCCAATAAAAAAACAAATAAAAGGTTTAAACAGACCATTCACCGGGCCGGCCCGGTGGCACACTGCTACAGTGCGCCGCTTGGGAGTGCGGTGGCGCTCCCGCCGAGGGTTCGGATCCCACATACAGACCGGTTCCCGCTCACTGGCTGGGCGAGGTGCGGGCGCAACACCGAGGGTTGCGATCCCGTTGCCGGTCCCGGTCCAGTACAGGTGCGACACTGAGGGTTGCGATCCGTTGCCGGTCACGAAAAAAGACAAAAAGGAAAATAAATAAATAAATAAATAATAAAAATAAAAAATAAATAAACAGACCATTCACCAAAGTATATGGATGGCAAGTAAGCATACAAAAAGATGCTATAGTGGATTGAATTATGTCCCCCGCAAACTCCCTGAAGCTTGAATTGTGTCCCCCAAGTTTCATGTATTAGAAACTTAGCCCCCACTGTGATTGTTAAGAGGTGGGAAATCTAATTACGGTAATTGAAAGGTGGAGCCTTGAAGAGAGAGATGATTGGATTATAGGTCATTGTAGTGGTGAATGGATTAAAAATGGTGGTCAGGGGCATGGTTCTGAGGGCTTTAACAGGAGAGTCTGTCTCTCTCTTTCTCTCTGCTTCCACCATCTTGCAATGTGAGACCCCTGGGTCACTGTTGCCAGCACCAGATGGACTTTGGACTTCTCAGCCTCAGAAACTGTAAGCAATACATTTTGTTTTCTTCATAAATTACCCATTTTGAGTTATTTTGTTATAAGCAACCTAAATGGACTAATACAGATGCTCAATACGGCATTAGTCATACAGAAATGAAATTAAGTGACAATCAAAATCACAATTGCATTCCACTACACACTACTAAAAGAGCTAAAACTCAAGAACTGGGGGCTGGCCAGTTAGCTCAGTGGGTTAGTGTGTGGTGCCGATAACACCAAGGTCCTGGGTTTGAGCCCTGTACCGGCCAGCCACCAAAAAACCAAAACCAAACAAACAAAAAAAGACTGACCATCCTAAGTGCTGGGGAGGATGTGGGAGGAACCAGAACTCTATATACTAGAAATGACGTAACCACTTTGAAAAGTTGGGCTGTTTCTTAAAATCATTTAAACACACATCCATCACATGACCCTGCCCTTCTATTCCTGAGTGTTCACCCAAGAGAAACAAAGGCGCAAACATTCACAGCAGCTTCCTGTGACAGCCACAAACAAAAAACCACCCAAACGTCCACCAACAGATGGAGGACAGGCTGTGACACATCCATACGGTGGAACACTTCAGGGCAATAAAAAGAAGGAACTATTGATAGGAGAGCACGGACAAATCCGAAAACTGGTGCTGACTAAAAGCAGCACACACATAGGCTCCATTTATACAAAACTAAACATGCAAACTCATCCAGAGAGAAAGCTGGACAGTGGGCGACTGGGGACGGGCGTGGGTGTGGCTATGGAGCAGGAGGAGGGAACTTCTGGGACTAGGTGATGATTATGTTCACCATCTTGATCATGGTGGTTAAAAGTCATCCAACTGTACACTTTAAATACATGCGGTCCACCAATTACACATCAATAAAGTTATTAAAACAATAAAGTGTTTCAGGACTGGCCAGTTAGCTCAGCAGGTTAGAACATGGTACTGATAACACCAAGGTCCAGGGTTCCATCCGTGTACTGGACAGATACCAAAAAAATAACAGCAATAAAGTGTTTCACTGTATAAATATCAAACTTGGAATTTAATCAGTCATCCCGTTTTGTGGGAACAGCCACGAGCATTCTAAAGCTAACTCCCACTGAACCCTGGACAGGCTGTGTGCTGTCCAAGGACACAGGGCGGGTGCTGCCCCTCGCTGCCATGCCAGCCTTTGAGACAGTGATGCTGGCAAGGAAATCATGACCATCTCACCTCTGCTGCAGCCACAAGAGACTCCCCTGTCTCTGCTTCCCTCCTGTCCTCTTCCACATGTCCTCCCCACTGCTGTCCACCAGCTCACAGCTCCTTCACTACTGTGCCATGGTCCTCTCGCCTAGCACCACCCCACTGTGCCAGAGCTACAAGAATGGGCTCTGAAGGGACGAACAGACACACCCTTGGGGCTACAGCCTCCAGCACGGCCACTGTTCTGGGTTTCTCGGGAGTAGGCAGTCTCTGCTCACAGACACAGGGAGGGGTCCCACTGCTGATCCAGGACAACAAATGGCGAGGAGCCCACCATGCCCACCAGTCTCGGCACTCTGAGCACAACACACCCACCTCAGACATTCAGGCTTCGGCACACGCAGTGTATCACAGGGTCTTTCAGAAATCACCTTTTTTGTACCAAACCACCTTTCCTAGTTATCGATTTAATGGGCTGATCTGTGGCTGGACTTTCCGTTTATGGCTCTTGGTGACGTAGGGAAGACGCAGCTCTGCAGCCCATGCTGGGTGCTGGCAGCTGTCCTGGGAGGTAACACGGGACTCACGCCAGCACAGGCCCCTCGCTGTCCCACCCACATCCACACCCGGCCCTCCCACAATCCTGCCAGGAAGACCTTCCCATAAACTCCCTTTTAAGTCCCTCAGTCACCTGCTGTTGCTCACCTGTCGCACAGGCTGGAGGGAAGCCACCCAGATGGACGGGGGAGTCTTCCACCCAGAATCCAAACCCTATCTTCTGGACAAGCAAACTGGTCCTACAACACTAAGCATCAGTTTGGTATCTCCGGTCACAGCACAGAAAACCACGATACGATCAGTCCCCACTATTCCTTCTTTTTCCTCCAAGGTGGAACTATGGGCAGAGCCAGCCAGCAGTAACCACGGCACCAGCACAAGGTCACCAGTCCTAATAACCTTCCTGGATTACTTCTCAGGTCTCAGTCATGGACACGTGAGTCGGAAGGAAGGAGGGAGAGCAGGGTAGTGACGCACCCTCTAAAGACGTGGACCCTGCACATCCGCAGGGACTCCGTGTCCTCTATTCACAGCCAGCACAGCATGACCACGGGAGGTCACTTTGAGCCAGTGAGCCACTGACAGGAAGAGGTCAGAGCTGCCACCAGGTGCTAGGGTTCTGCTTTTGAGAAAAGGACCTCCATATAAGGAGGATGCCACCCCTAAGTGGCCTGGCCCCCAAACCCCCAGGATGCTGCCTCCTGGGGGAATGGTGGCGCACACGAGACTCACATTGTCGCGGATGTTGATGTCAGAGCCCCTGGACAGCAGCAGCTTCACCAGGTCCACGTGCTTGTACTCAGTGGCCCAAATCATGGGCGTCCAGCCTCCATCATCCTAATTCCAAAAGGGAGAAATAAAAACCTATCAGAATTACTAGAGACGAGAAACTGAGAGAATAGTAAGAAGGGCTCCTGCTGTGGAGGCCCCATGTCTCCCAGGACTGTGCCTCTGCACATGCATCTCACTCAGGACCTGCACAGCAGCCCCAGGAGGCAGGGGCTGGTCCTCAGAGCACCAACCCAGGTAGCTCGGCCACTACAGGACGAAGACAGACCTGGAGCCAGGTCCAACCCACTGGCACACAGGCCATCTCTGTACTGGGGGAGCTCACTCCAAGCCCCACACGTCACTAGGTAGAACATTTCAACAAACATCTAACTGAATAACAAGCAAGAGAACTGAAACTTGGTAAGCCCAGACCAGACCCAGAGAGTGCTGTGGTCGTGCCTGGTGGGAAGCTCAGAAAGCCACAGACTCTGACCTTTTGGCCCCAGTGTGGACTCTGTACACGAGAGCTGGTGCTAGCCCAGTGAGAGCGGCAACCAAGAATGCAGACGGACGTCCAGGCCCAGAGACCCACACCCTGCCTTTTCTTGAAGGGCAGGAAACACAAAGCCTACAGGCTGACTCAATCCTAGGGCCAGTCATGATCTGATGAACCAGCTCCCAACCACACCACTGAGTCCACTCAGCAGTCCTGGGTAGTTTTATTTAAACCAGAAGGAGGGAACTTTCCAGAAACTTAGTGTCATGCTGCCAACTCCTGGTCTGCAGGCAGAAGACTCAGCTTCCTCCCCAGCACCTCTGAAAGGACGTTCCACACATCCCACGGTCGCACATTTCCCTGGTGGACGCATACAGCCTCCACGATTAAGCTAAACCTCCCCTGCGGGTTAACTGTCAGCAACACCCCAAGCACTGGGGACACACACGAACAACACAGAGAGGGGGTCCAGCCCGTGGACTGTCGGGGCAGGCAGCCATGAGCCCAAGGAGCACACTGCAGGGGCCACTGCTTTCAGTCCATCTTGCGGGGGCACCAAGGTCAAGAAGGCACAGAACCCAGCCTGAACGCTGGTGGGGGGCAGTGTCTGGCTATGATGAAGGTAGAGCCTCCTGAGGGAGGGAATAGTGTGTGGAGACAGACGCATCCCAGGACCTCAAGCCTGTGAGGACTCTGTGCCACCTGGGCAGCCTCGAGACCAGCCCTCTAGTCTCTCAGCCATTCATGCAATCAATAGATATCTACGGGGACTTACAATGTGCCAGGCACTGAAGAGGCACCACAGGTCACAGCATAAGCAAAACAGTTAAGACCCTGCCCTGTGGCACTGCCAGGGGTTGGGAGTAGGGGAGAGATGACAGGCAGGTGGGCAGGAAGCAAACACTCAGAGACGGCGGCCAGTGCTATGGGGACAAACAAGACAGGGAAGGAGGACAGGGTACCACAGAGGGGCGCAGGGGCTGTCAGGGTATGCAGTGGCCCGGACACCTAAGTCAGGTGATGAGTTCTGAACACAGACCTGATGGCAACCAGGGCGGCCCACGTGGACACCAAGGGAGAGGCCTCCTGCCACATCCAGTGTGGGGCCACCCTGGACACGAGCCCACAGAGCAGGCCAGGGAAGGATGGGAAGAGAGAGAGGACGAGGCCTCCAGGGACTTCAGGACATTGCCAGCACCTAAGCTGACCCGCGGTGTGACAGGAAGCTGTGGAGAATGGGGGTGGGCATAGGACAGCTGTGCAGGGTCCAGCCAGTCAGGGAAGTGCACCAGTGGGTGGAAGGTGTGGCTTTACCTGGCAGTTGACGTCCATTTGTCCATTCGAAAGCAGATACTGAACTACATCATAATGGCCTTTCTTGGCAGCCAAGTGCAAACACGTTGAGCCCTCTGCATCCTGCAACACAAACGCCAGTGAGGGCCAGAGCACTCACACTCAGGACTCTGGTGTGCCCAGTCCTGAGTGCAGGACCACAGAGAGCCCTTGTCCCCAGCACGAGCAAGTAGCTGTTATTGTCCTCCCTGAATGATAAGGAAACCCAGGCCAAGAGGACTAAGTCATCTTCTGAGGCCGCACAGCCCAGGAGGCACAGTCACAGCAAGCTCTTGTCTGCTGGGCAACTGACCATTGAGGCAGAGCTCAAGTGGTAAGGAACCTACGGGTGCACCGTAACAAAGACTGCCCCGACTCCTCACCCCTGTGGAGTGGATGGAACACCCCCAGGCTCCTCGTCAAGGCCAGCGTGCAGCGCCAAGTGCCACTAGGAGTGGTTCTAACACGACCACTGGGGTTGCTCCATGCCACCTGCTGCTCCCTGGACCCTGTGAGTTAATGCTCATGCAGCACAATTAAAACAGTGCAAATGACTCATGACAGCTGTCCTCATGCCACAGAACTTAAAGTAATAAATGGTCGAAAGGAGCAGGAAAACAGGGGTAAGCCCACCCAGACCACGTCGCCAACCCCACTGCCTCTGCTTGTGCTTCCTCTGGCTGTGGGACATGCCTTCCCACTAGCTTTCAGCTCGTTTCCTCAACGACAATAAACAGATCATGCTAATCAAACCACCTAAAAAAACAAAAGACATCCAGGATGGAGGTCAGACCCAGAAGCTCCAGGAGAGGCTGGGAGCGCCAGACTGGGCGCCTGCCCCGCACAGGGCCCATTGGGACACGTTTCCACCTTGTGCTTGCGAGGCTTTTCTCCCCAGTTCCTGTCTGTGCGCCGACCGTGCCTCTTTACTGCCATTCTCCCCCTTACTTCTACTCTCAGAGCAGCGATCCTTGATTTTAACACACATCATCTAATATACTTTTTTTTTTAACATATTTTTCATGTCATCCCATTCCCTGCCACCTTTGTTTTCCAGCCTGCTTCCCCTTAACAGCTGGACACATCATCGTTCCATTTTTCTATTGGTTGTGACTGAAGTAGCTTGAGGTCAATTATTTCCCCAGCAATTGACAAAGAATCTTGATGAAGAGGAAAGTGACACTGTCCCTTAAATGACACTGCTCCCTCCTCTCCTTGCCCTCCCGGCTGAAAGGGGAGAGGCGGGCGGACTCTCCTTTTGCAAGGAGCCCAGCAGGGCAGTGGTGATGGGGTCTGTGGAAGTGCGTGGGTAACATATGGTAAGTGGAGAAAATATTTATCTTATTTTATTTTATTTTGTCAATGTACAATGTGGCTGATTATTGTGGCCCATCACCGAAACCTCCCTCCCTTTCCCTTTCCCTTTCCCCGCTCCCTCCCAACAATGTCCTTTCTGTTTGCTTGTGGTATCAACTTCAAGGAATTGTTGTGTCTTCTCCCCCTGCCCCCGTTTTTTTGTGTGTATTTATTTATTTATTTTTAGCTCCCACCAATAAGTGAGAATATGTGGTATTTCTCTTTCTGTGCCTGACTTTTTTCACTTAATATAATTCTCTCTAGGTCCATCCATGTTGTTGCAAATGGCAGTATTTCATTCATTTTTATAGCTGAGTAGTATTCCATTGTGTAGATATATCACAGTTTCCGTATCCACTCATCCGATGATGGACATTTGGGCTGGTTCCAACTCTTGGCTATTGTAAATAGTGCTGCAATGA